GCTAGTAGTGGAATCCAACTGACCCCATTCTGCTTTAATTCCTTTATATGTGGCACCTTGGACAAGGTGGTGGTGAGCTGTGCTGGTCTAGAACAGGGATTGGCAACAGGTCATGTGGTCTAGCTGCCTGTTTGAGTACACAAAGTGTAATTAAAACATAGCCACACCCTTTTGTTCAGGCATTTTCTTTGACTGCTTTCCCACTGCCACAACAGAGTTGAGTCATTACAAGAGACCTTATAAGCCACAAAGACAAAAAGTTTGCCACCCCTCCCTCTGAGAACATTATCCCCTTATTAATGAGGGTAATGAAAGTTCCTGTAATTAATCCCCAAATTTTAATGGCTTAGCACATTTTTTTTAAGTTTATTTCTCAATCATACAATGGCCCAGCCAGGTTGTTCTGGGCAGAGTTGGGTTGGAGGAAAGGCTCTGCTTCAGGGATGCAGGCTGGTCATTGCTCTAAGGTCACCCTGGGTAGAATCATCCAGCCAGCAGACAAGGGAAAAGAGAGGATCATGCACAGGAGACTTTTATGTGCTAGATATGGAAGTGGCAGACATCACTTCCACACTCCCTTCTATTAGCCAGAACTCAGTCACATGACTACTTAAATGCAGAGGATATGGGGAAATGTAGTCTACTGGTATGTCCAGGAAGAAGAAAAAACAGGTTTTGGGAACACATATAGCCTCCACCACATCCCTAAATGATAATCATTCTTATACCCAGAAAAATGTCTTTGGTTTTGACTTCTCAAATCTGTTTTACACCTCACATACACCATGCACATGTTTAAATTCTAATTGAGCCCTCATCTTTTTGAGATACATACTGAAATACGCACAACTGAAATGATATATCATGGATTTGCTTCAAAATAATCTGAGGAGGAAGTGCATGAAAATATAGATGAGTTATGATTGACCCTAAGTTTTGTTGAAGATGGTTACGAGTGCAGTATTCTCTTTACTTTTGTATATATTTAACTTCTTCCATAATAAAAGTTTTTTTTAAGGATTACTAAAACTACTCTTTGCTATCTTGCAATAGTTTTTAGTAAAAAAAATTAAGTAAAAACAATAAAAATCCTGACCATAATAAACTATGAGGTTCTCTTCAATTTACTATAGACATTTACTATAGGTGTTCTGGCTTGTTCATTTCTGTTACTTTCTCCCAATGTTCCGATCCAATAAGCTTGTCTGCAAAAGAAATGGACCAATAATAAAAGACAAAATCTGTGAGAGAATAGCACAGTCAAGAGACAGAGGAGTTAATATTCATAGCCCGGCCATTTGCATTAGAAACATTCTAAGGAGAGTAAATTTATTAAGTAGGGTCTATAGAAAGACCACATTTGTTATAACCATTAAATAAAATCTGGTTGAGCAACTACTCCATGAAGCTCAGCTCTTGCAATAGTGAGGAAGGAGATGTCCCTGTCTGGATGGGTGATACTTGCTGCTGTAGCAAACATCCCAAATGTCACGGTGTCTTTGAACAACAGAGTTTTATTTCTCATTGTGCAAGGTTAAATGCAGATATTCCTGGCCCAAAGGTCTCTTTGGAGCAAAAATTCAAAATTTGGATTTGGATTTCTTCCATCTCAGTCCTTGGCCATGTAGAAAGTAAAGACAGAGTGTGTGTTGATCATTCAGGCTGTTTTATGGCCAGACCTGAAAGGAACAGAGCATTCACCGCCTCACCTAGACTGTATTGCTGGAAAATGTTCTCTAGCTATGAACCCAGGAAGAAAAAACTGGGTACTGGAGGAGGGGAGGGGATATATGCTGGGCAATGTACCACCACAAAGGTGATGGAGGTTTGGTGGGAAGGCAGACATGCAAACAGACACATTCCACTAGGGCATACTAAGATTAACAAAAAAGATGTAAGGTGCTATGGGAACTCTGAATAAGAAGGTAGGCATTTTAAAACTTAAATCAGCTGTGTGCTTAAACCTTAATTTGTTTGGGCCATTAAATTTGTAAATCCTTTTCATCAAAAATTGTAATCCAGTTTTCCCTAACTCCTCAAAAGCAGAGCACTGCTAGCAGCCTTATTTGGCAACTTTAGTCACAGAGCATATTTATCAATGCTAGTTATATGTGCCTACTAGAACATAAACTCACCTGGAATTTGGATCTCACAGCATGAAAGGATTTTAATAGGATTCATTGATACATTTGTTCACTATTTTATAAAGACTGTTGTCCCCAAAATTCAATTTACAATTTTTACAACATTTTACAAAGACTTTGATCTCCAACTCTCCCTTTACAAATTTACAAGAATTTACACTCGCCGCAAGGATTTCTTTCCATGTTTTTTTTTTTACGTTTTTTTTTTCCTTAGAATCGAAAAATGTTCATTTTAGATGGGAGGAGAGGCAGCTGAGGCTCACATGTGGGGACTGTGTGTGATGAAAACACAGGACACAGCAGCGCCTGGATTCTAATTTAGACCAGCCTGCCTCAGGCAATAAGAAAGTCATTTGTCCCTGTTGCGCCCACATCACAATTTGACACAACTGGGGGCCAGAGCAAGCCTTAAGCTCTCTCTGGCTGCAAGATTTTATTTTGCTATCTTAATTTATATTATCCGTTCATTTGCTGATTCTTCCCGTCCTCCTCCCTTTCTAAGCGATTCTAATTAGAAAACGCACAGGAGGATCCTTGTGGGATCTGAAAGCTGCTGGGATCCCCTCTTTGATCTCCCATCTGAACCGCGGACCATCTATTGTTTCAAATTCTCCCCCAGCGCTTCAGTTGACAATTCTTGGCATTTTAGAGCCTGGAGATGGCCATAAATGCCTGACAGGACATGCTACCTAAACCCCCAAAACAAGCACACCCTCTAATCATTTCCCTTTCCTCCCCGAATCTCACCCCTTCCCAAAAAATAACTGAAAAGGAAAAGATACCGAGTGCTTTATAAACAACTGCAGACTTATTAATAAGATACTAAGGCTGGTTACAATTTTAAAGATGTTCAAGACATCTCTAAGCCACAACCAGCTCTGCTTTCCCTGATATAATCCAAGTCAGCTCAACATACCTTAACAGCGCTATTTAAATTATGCAAAATGCCACGGTGACCTGAGCAACTTTCAGAATGATTAAAGTGTTTCTTGTCTTAATTTGGGTGAGACTTGGCTGAGCTGCCTTGCGTACAGATGTGAATTCGAAAGGTACCTGATTTAAGAATCTTCAACTGGTAGGACCGGGAGGTGGAGGGCAGACACCGGGCACGGGGCGAAAGGGCGTGCCGGCGAGAAAGGTTTGTTTATTTAACTTAAGTCACCAAGGGAAAATCGGGAGGATGCATGCCGGGGGCTCTGGAGTCCAGGACGCGAAATGGGCTTGGAAATTTGAGAAACAGACGTGCGGACGCCTTAGGCTGAGGGCTCTGCTCTCTGGGAAGGAAGGGTGGGCGGGCTCACCAGAAGGGGGAAGGAGGAAACCGGGTGGTAGGCGGAGAACGCGCAGTATAAAGGGCCCAGCCTTCCAGTACGCTCGCCACTCCGAGCCACTCGGGGACCGCGGGAGCCAGGGCCAGACCTGGAGGAGGGAAACGCACGTGCTACTGCGGCAATCTGAGTCCACCACCTGACGCAGTTCGCTCTGGCATCCGAGGCGAGGATCCCGCGCCCTCTGCTCGACCCCAGAGCCCTTCCGTTCACCAGCAGCTCCCTGCAAGGCATGAGCGGAGCGCGGGAGCCGGAGGCTGCAGAGCAGTCATGAAGCGGTGGCCCAGCAGTGGCTGTGCGACGGCAGCCCCCAGGCCCCCTCCGGGACAGGCGCCTCCGGGATGAGCCTTACGACACGCGACTGCATGAGCTGAAATTTACGCCCAGTGCCCCACCTCCGTTCTGCGCGCCTGAGCCGCAGGCACCCCGCCCCTACAACTTTCCACCGCGACACCTGCGCGCTTGGCCAGACCGACGCCCAGCGGACAGGACTCGCCTCCCTTCGCAGTCTCTACCAGGTGCCGCGGGCGCGTGAGCTGCGGTCCTCAGGTTGCTTGCGGCCCACCGTCCAGGAGCAAGTGTCAAGAGCCTTCGGGAACGACACTTTATCTCCCCCCTTATACACACGCACGCCAGCTTCAGGAACACGGGCAGTTCCAGACAGCCACCTGGCTGGTTCTGCGCCCTCTCCGTTCTCCGTCACCACAACTCCCAACTCCACTTTGTCAATAAAGGTTTCTAAACTCATCCAGGCACCCCCACCTACCCACAGCCCCAGCCTCAGCACGCACAAGGGCTCTGCCCTCTCCGGCCACAGAGACCTCGGCAGCGACGGTGCGCACTAGGCAAAGTACGGCAGGCGGACAAGGACCCCGGAGGGGCACCTGGGTCACCAACAGACAGTGACAGCCCGCGTGTACCTGGGGCCCCCATCTGAAGCCGGCTCACCCTAGGACTCGGCGTCAGGGCGGCGCGGCCCACGGCCCGAAGGAGCACAGGGAGGAGGGGAGGTGGCTCGTCGGGTGAGTGGCTCCGGGCGGCAAGGGCGGGGGAGCCAAGCGTGGAGGTAACTCCGGGCCGCCACTGAAGCCCTCCTCCTCATTCTCCTCCTCCTCCTTCTCCTCCTCTTCCTCCTCCCCGCGCTCCTCTGGCGGCCGCTCCCGCTCCAGCTGCGGCGCCGCGGCCACATCTGGGGCGCCCATGTGCGCTCGGGGGCTCGGCTGCGCCCGCCCCGCCGCCGCCCCCGCTGCCCCCTGCGCGCAGGGTGGCCCCCGGCCCGGCCCGGGTCCCGGGCAGCCCCCCGTCGCCGCCGCCGCCGCCGCCGGGGAGCGCCGGGGTTTGCTCCACAGTCAGCTTGGACGGCCCCGCCGTGGCTCCGCTGTGGTGCGGCGGCGGCGGCAGCGGCTCCTGCTCCCCCGGCCAGGCGTGCCCCGCCGCGCCCAGCGCCAGCCCCACGGGCCCGGGGAGCGGGGCCGCGGCGGGGGCCGAGGCGGGAGCCGTGCCGCCGGGCTCCCGGGCTCCAACTCCGCCTCCCCCGCCGCCCGCCGCGCCGGGTCCTAAAGCCGCGCGCCTCAAGAGGATGGTGCGCCTGGCGGCCGAGCTGCTGCTGCTCCTGGGGCTGCTCCTGCTCACGCTGCACATCACCGTGCTGCGCGGCTCTGCTCCCTGCAAGGCATGAGCGGAGCGCGGGAGCCGGAGGCTGCAGAGCAGTCATGAAGCGGTGGCCCAGCAGTGGCTGTGCGACGGCAGCCCCCAGGCCCCCTCCGGGACAGGCGCCTCCGGGATGAGCCTTACGACACGCGACTGCATGAGCTGAAATTTACGCCCAGTGCCCCACCTCCGTTCTGCGCGCCTGAGCCGCAGGCACCCCGCCCCTACAACTTTCCACCGCGACACCTGCGCGCTTGGCCAGACCGACGCCCAGCGGACAGGACTCGCCTCCCTTCGCAGTCTCTACCAGGTGCCGCGGGCGCGTGAGCTGCGGTCCTCAGGTTGCTTGCGGCCCACCGTCCAGGAGCAAGTGTCAAGAGCCTTCGGGAACGACACTTTATCTCCCCCCTTATACACACGCACGCCAGCTTCAGGAACACGGGCAGTTCCAGACAGCCACCTGGCTGGTTCTGCGCCCTCTCCGTTCTCCGTCACCACAACTCCCAACTCCACTTTGTCAATAAAGGTTTCTAAACTCATCCAGGCACCCCCACCTACCCACAGCCCCAGCCTCAGCACGCACAAGGGCTCTGCCCTCTCCGGCCACAGAGACCTCGGCAGCGACGGTGCGCACTAGGCAAAGTACGGCAGGCGGACAAGGACCCCGGAGGGGCACCTGGGTCACCAACAGACAGTGACAGCCCGCGTGTACCTGGGGCCCCCATCTGAAGCCGGCTCACCCTAGGACTCGGCGTCAGGGCGGCGCGGCCCACGGCCCGAAGGAGCACAGGGAGGAGGGGAGGTGGCTCGTCGGGTGAGTGGCTCCGGGCGGCAAGGGCGGGGGAGCCAAGCGTGGAGGTAACTCCGGGCCGCCACTGAAGCCCTCCTCCTCATTCTCCTCCTCCTCCTTCTCCTCCTCTTCCTCCTCCCCGCGCTCCTCTGGCGGCCGCTCCCGCTCCAGCTGCGGCGCCGCGGCCACATCTGGGGCGCCCATGTGCGCTCGGGGGCTCGGCTGCGCCCGCCCCGCCGCCGCCCCCGCTGCCCCCTGCGCGCAGGGTGGCCCCCGGCCCGGCCCGGGTCCCGGGCAGCCCCCCGTCGCCGCCGCCGCCGCCGCCGGGGAGCGCCGGGGTTTGCTCCACAGTCAGCTTGGACGGCCCCGCCGTGGCTCCGCTGTGGTGCGGCGGCGGCGGCAGCGGCTCCTGCTCCCCCGGCCAGGCGTGCCCCGCCGCGCCCAGCGCCAGCCCCACGGGCCCGGGGAGCGGGGCCGCGGCGGGGGCCGAGGCGGGAGCCGTGCCGCCGGGCTCCCGGGCTCCAACTCCGCCTCCCCCGCCGCCCGCCGCGCCGGGTCCTAAAGCCGCGCGCCTCAAGAGGATGGTGCGCCTGGCGGCCGAGCTGCTGCTGCTCCTGGGGCTGCTCCTGCTCACGCTGCACATCACCGTGCTGCGCGGCTCGGGAGCCGCCGACGCGCCCGACGCGGCCGCGGGCAACGCCACCGGGACCGCGGTGCAGGTGAGTGCGCCGCCGGGGAGGGCGCGGGCGCGGGAGGCGGGGTGCGGAGCCGGCGCTGGAGCCTCGCGAGGGCGGCCGCCGCCCCGCCCTGCTGAGCTGCCCCTGTCTGCGCAGCGGTTTTGCGGGGGTGCCTGGAGGCCGGAGACGACCTCGAGGTCTGCCAGAAGCTCGCCTCCGGTCTGTCACAGGCCAGGTTCCTGGTGGGTGCGGAGCTTGGGGCGCGCGGAGGAAGTGTGGAGTCCTTACTTGCTTTGGGGCGCTTCCAGTCTTAGGTTGCCCTTTGGAGGCTGAGTAACGTTACTCTGGGGGGACAGGGAAGCGTATTATACCTATAGGGTAATATCCCCAAACTGGGTTGGGAGGAAAGAATCCCAGTGAGTCTGCCCCTTAAGAAAGCAACGCCAAAAGTCAGGGAATAATTCTCCCCGAGAATGGCCAGACAGCCTTTATTCGCCCAAGAGTTCCACGTGCCTTCACTGTCCATCCCCAACCATGAGGATTCACGGAGTCGAGCCACCTGTCTTGCTTAGGGCCAGGGTCACCTGGGGCTTTGAAACGTACAGCAAACACTTCTTCCCAGCGTTCTGCTGCTGTCAAAGGTCGCTTTGGAATGGGATATAGACAAGGTAGGAGAGGGAGTCGCGACTGGGGAGGGGGAAGTGCGTCAGACCCAAGGTGAATTCTGGTTTCAGTATAAAAGATTGTCTAGGTAGGGATTCCCCTGCTGCTGTCTTGGAAAGCGCTTTTCCTTTAGTCTAAGAGTGTGACAACTGTCAATTTGGGGCCTGGGTAGAAGTGAGCAGAGATTTTCCCAGGAAGCAGTGAGAAATCTCTGGCTCCTTAAATTTCCTAAAACCATCCCCTCTAAAACCCTTTACTCTACACTGTCAAGATAAGCTTTATTCATTGTTCCCAGAAGGCTTTACAGTCATTGCCCTTGCTAGTTTTCATGTTTTGCATTTTTATGTAATTTATTGCAAAAAAACCCTCTACTGTTAAAGAAATAATTAGATATTTCTATAGTGCTTTCTACTTGCAACTGTTTTAAGTGCTCTCCAAAATTTAATTGATTTAATGAGGCACTATACTGTTAATATTCCCCCTTTACAGATGCAAAAACTGAGGTAGACAGACATTAAGAAACTTGCCGAAGTTCACACATTCCAAACTCTTATTTAATTACGCCCAGTTTTCTTTCTGCCGGGCTGTTACGGACTGAACTAAGGTGATCCTTGCACACAAATGCAAAACCGTAAATGGAAAAGTATACACCGCAGAGCCTAGATTTCTTTTAAATGAGGGACATTTCTGAAAATGTCCTAACGTTGTGGAGCCCTATCATCTTCAAGGTGGGTAAACAGGTACAGTGTCAGACTGACAGGATTCCTTTGGGGAAATTGAAGATACTGCCGTTCTGTAAACCATAGTACACCCGGCAATCTAATGCTGTAGGAATAATTCTTAATGTCTTCAAGATTTCTGGAAGTCATATTTTATATATGATGCTTTCTTTCCTCATGGGCTCATGAAAAGTTGTAAAATTTATGTTCTATGGAAAAGTAAATTTGGCAGATTTCTTTATGAGGTGTGTGCTATCATTAGAATAACTGGGGTCAGCCTTTTCTGCCTGAACCATAAGGTAATGAGAGAAGCAGCTGGTGGAAGTGGCAACTGTAAAAGGGAAGTGGATTAAATTCTCAAAGGGGCCTTTGGGCTGCCCCAAGGGGGCAGGAGAAATGGGGAATTTTGAAAGAGTAATGCTCCTAGAAATATCTAGGCTTTCAAACAGCTGCTAATCCACCAGCTTCGGCTTATCTTGTAATAATACTCAGTTATTCTGGCCACTCAATGCACTTATCCAGGCAGAATGATGAGTAACAGTTTAGTTCATAATTTTACTCCTTTTTGTAATTTGTTATTATAAAAGTTTTATATTCTTCCTGACTGAAGTTTTTTCTCTGGCTCTCTGACTCTCCAAAAGTATTATAACTCAAATGGAGAGGGAATGTTCTGCCAAGTCAGGAGGTCTGCAAAAGACATTTATTGGTCTGTCTTCTTCAGGCCTGGGAAACTGAATTGGCTAGTAGCAGGTGCCTTTGAAAACAAAACTCTGGACACTACATTCTTTCTGTTTACTGGACATTTTTTTAACCTGTCTTAAAGTCCATCTAGATTTGTTGGCTCTGTGATGTATCTTAAGTTTCTAAAATCATTCTTTGCAACCAGAAAATTGATCAATCCTTATACTACATTATTTTTTGTTATCTCAGCTTAAAACATTCCGAACTATGAAATTGGAGTCAGAAATACACAATGGTAGGTTGATTTGCCCAAACTGTAGTGCATTTCAGATCACTTAAAAAGAGACACATCCTTATTTAAGATCTGGTGGTTTTGACATATCAAGGGCACCCAATAAAATAATAGAACAACAGGCACTGTTAGCACTTTACATATATTAATAAAGTCTCATATATTGGGCACATCATTATCCCTGATTCAAATGAGAAAAACTGGTGGTGGGTAACTTGCCCAAGGTTGCACTTCTAAAAGCTCCTTTGTTTTTTGGTATTGTAGAGTGTAAAAATCTTTGAAGAATACTTGTATTTTGAGTTCTTGGTAAAGTCATCATGCTGGCTGTAAGAGAGAAGAAAGCCCTTTAACAACTTTCATTTCAAACATATCTTGGCAGTCTTATTGTGTCAAATATGAACATATGTGTGTATATATATATATATACACATATATATATACACACACATTGATACATTTTATATATACATAAACAGATGCTTATATAAAAACATGATCTAACATAATTTTTGGGGTAGTTCCAGCATGCTAGGGAATACATTTTTTTTTACTATAACTGTTCCTGTGCTGTAGGTACACTCGTATAGAGTAGCAGTAAAATGCTTTGAGCACATTATCTCTATTGGTTATGTGGCTCATGAAAATAATGATGTTAGTCTCTTTACTGTTTTCAGTATTTTAAAGTACCTGGTAAGACATTATATAGTTGTCTGCAACAACTGCATAAAAATTCATGGAAACATCAACTCTTTTCACTTTTGAATGAAATCTTACCTCCTCTTTAAATAAGCTTGTCACATGTTGATCAGATCCTCAGATTAGTTCTTTGGTATGTTTTTAATTGATGGTAGTAAGAAAAAATTACATAAAATAAAAGCAGTATGGAAGACAGAACATGCCAAAATAGAGAATAAACAGGTACTAATAATAGTAATAATAATACTATCTCTTTTCCTTGATTCAAATGAGGACTTCTCTACTAAATCTCAGATTTACAACCATGAATTTCTGCACATTTTAAATAGTAAAGCTAGGACCCTGTAAGACAGTGAAATATAAGCAAGTATTATAAAACATCCAGTTGCTTATTTACAATGCCATTAAAACAGACCAAACTCTGAAATGTAGCTACATGTCTGTTCTCTGTCTCTCAACTGTCATCTTTATTAGCAGTTTCCCCCTTTTTATCCCTCTACTACTCTTCAGTAAAACAGCTAGCTCCTGTACTCACTGCCTCAGAATCAAGAGTTCATATGAGTTATTCATAGCAGGAGGAGCAAAATCAACTTTATTTGTTCCGTAATACAAGTAAGACTCCTTATAATGACTCTATGAGATAGATAGTATTTATGGACACATTTCACAAATGAGGAAATTGACACCTGGAGAGATTTGAGTAACATTCCCAAGGCAAAACAGCTGTAGGGGGGGCAAGGCCAGGATTTGGTCCCAGGCAGGCTAATGGTAGAGCCCAATTCTTCCAGGTGTCAGCAAGACTCCTCCACCGCCTGTTCAGGTCAACAGCCATTGTGTTTCTTGTTTTGTGACTTGCCTGCCCATCTTCCAGGCAGGCTACTTGCTCTTATTTTTGAGATTTTTTATAAACTATGGGTAACTGTCCCAGTTAGCTATCGCTACTTAACAAACTACCCCAGAGCTTAATGGCTTAAACAACCACCATTTTATTTGCTCATGAGTTTGTCAGTAACTTGCTCTGGGCTCAGCTGGGTGGTTCTTCTGCTGGTCTTACTAGGATTACTCATGCAGCTAGCACTGGGGTTGCAAATGCTGGAAACTTGAGCCAAGACATATAAGACATGTTAGAAAAAATTGAAGAGAAAAATAAAAAATATGAGAAAAAAAGGAGACAGAGAAGATAGATCTTTAAATCCCAGTATTAGTTTCAAACTCTCATAGGAGTTCTGGAAGGAGACTATAAAGATATTGAAAATAAGCAAATGACTAAAGAAATTTCCTCACACTGAAGACAGACTTGGGGTTACAGATTGAAAGGGTCCACGAAGTGCTAAACAAGACTAACAGTGCCTTTGAAAACAAAACTCTGGACACTACATTCTTTCTGTTTACTGGACATTTTTTTAACCTGTCTTAAAGTCCATCTAGATTTGTTGGCTCTGTGATGTATCTTAAGTTTCTAAAATCATTCTTTGCAACCAGAAAATTGATCATTCCTTATACTACATTATTTTTTGTTATCTCAGCTTAAAACATTCCGAACTATGAAATTGGAGTCAGAAATACACAATGGTAGGTTGATTTGCCCAAACTGTAGTGCATTTCAGATCACTTAAAAAGAGACACATCCTTATTTAAGATCTGGTGGTTTTGACATATCAAGGGCACCCAATAAAATAATAGAACAACAGGCACTGTTAGCACTTTACATATATTAATAAAGTCTCATATATTGGGCACATCATTATCCCTGATTCAAATGAGAAAAACTGGTGGTGGGTAACTTGCCCAAGGTTGCACTTCTAAAAGCTCCTTTGTTTTTTGGTATTGTAGAGTGTAAAAATCTTTGAAGAATACTTGTATTTTGAGTTCTTGGTAAAGTCATCATGCTGGCTGTAAGAGAGAAGAAAGCCCTTTAACAACTTTCATTTCAAACATATCTTGGCAGTCTTATTGTGTCAAATATGAACATATGTGTGTATATATATATA